ACCTTTCAAATAACAGGAACAAAATCTTTGAAGTCGGACATTTACAATTGAAAGATGTTAGTATTTTGTTGACTGTCTGATGATGATACAATACGATTTTTTATTCTGATATGTACATGTATTTATTGTCGTGTGCTTTATGACACAACACACTTAAAGTTCCTGTATGTTGTAATACAGTTAAGTGAAGTTTTATATATTTATATAATAGTAATTATTCTCCTAAAACAATTTCCAAACATCCAAGAATATGTTAAAAAGGGGGGAGGTATAATAAATATGTACTGCAAATGTTTATATTTAACTTTAGTTAATAAATAAACGTTACAATTAATGCATTCAAATTTATTTTAAAAGAAATGGCTTAGACTTTTACGAAAATAAATTTCTTTTTCCCTCCCTTTATTTACCCTGAAATGTTAAATTCCATTACATACCTTTACAAATAATGCTTTTTGAAACTAACAATATTGATAAATTTTCATTTAATTATCCGATCTATGATATAAAACCATAAAAAATGCGTTACAGGGTATTTAACAGGTATAATCGAAACAATCTATAAAGAAATAATGACATGTATATACTGCAGATATTGAAGATATAATGATTTGATATTCATATATAAATATGTGTAATTATAGTATTATTGAAAAATGACGGTTTTTTGACACGCAAATTGGAAATTACTTTTTTTTCATTTTGCATTTATTGCTCAAAAGCCGGTAATTTATATTTTACCAAAAGCAGAATTCAGAATTTCGAAAACAATATTTAAAAAATTTACATAATAAATTATGACCATATGAATAATTTTACTTTTTTAAAGGTTTGCGAAGTAAGTAAGCCATACATCTGTCAAAAACAAACATATTTCTTTTAAAACAAACGTTACATTTTTACAACGAGCAGGCTGTCTGTGCTTTAATGAAACGTTTTTAAATTACAGTTAATAGAATAGCAGTCGCCAATGGCCAAATATGTTGAAAGTACACTTCGTACAAAACAAAACAAAACAACAACAAGTACAGTAAAACGTATAAAATTGATGATATTAATAAGAACATATAATGTGTCATTTCACGTTACCATTCTCTTTTTTTATATTGGAATCATAAGTCACATTTAATTTACTGGTGGGGGACCACCAACACCGGACAACCACCAAACCTGGACGGCCCCGAAAATGCTAAATTTAGTATTTTCTTTGTTCAGTAGTTGTCAGTCACCTTTTTATCAACAATAAATGTGTGTTTCTTCTAAAATTATGTAAATAAATTTATTTTAACCTCCGTAAATGGTAATATTTTAATGTCTACTTCAAGAATGTTGATGTTGAAGTTTGGGGGTCAAGAAAACAATGCCTGACCTCATATACCAGCTATAATCATGTGCAGAGTAAACAATAGAATATCCAAAACTTCAGCATTTGTTGCAGAAACATTGTATATCATGTTAAAAATCAAAAATGAAAACACCCAAGCTTTTATCTGAATTAAATCATGTCATGTAATATATGTCCTGTATACACATGATACTGTAGTGTAGATAATTTAGGTAATTTTTATACCCTCCTTGTCGAGCCTCAGAAATAAGTGCCAATACAATCAGAAAAAAACAAACTAGTTTGTTAGTTAGGAGAAGAACCTAGCTGAACCGTGTCAATTTTTTTGGTCTCCAGGTTAAAAATTATGAAATCTGTACGGAAAATGTTCCAAAAGTGTCCGGTTGATGGTCTCCGACCAGTAAAGGTTCATCAGACTTGCAAATTGAATTTGATCAATATAACCCGTTTCCTGTCAGCAGACAGTAATTTTATGTCTCACAATTTTCTGATAAACATCACTTATTAACTTAAACTTGACCTGGAGAATGATGTTGAATGTGTGATTGATAATAATTTAAATCGATTATATCATTAGAGTTAGAAGAACAGACTGTCAGCTTGACTGAGTACGGCGAGTATCGTATTTATTATTCAGGTTTCACTAGTTTGATACTCGGATGAAACAAAATTTCGTCGTCACAATTGATATATTGGCCATTTCTCTCTCATCTCTGATACAGAAACATCTGGGATTAGAAGACGATAATATCCAGGAACATTGGTTATTATTAATTAGTTATCCTGGTTGCCGGTTAGTCCGACCGCTCGCCAAAACCATAAAAGTTTTGAATCTGCCGTAAACTAATCAGATAAACAAGCAAACGAATAAATTTCATATAAAGTGTATCTTTTTAATTTTTTGAAATGAAATAAAATACGAAACGATCTATTAGATATACAATTATTTGTTTAAGCAAGAAGTTTGTACAACGAAGTTTTAATGTCTGAATGTATTATAGTAAGAAACAATTATACAGAAATGATCACAATCAATCGTATGTCAATATATAAAAATCAGTGTCTCAGTGGGTTGAATATGATTTCCCTCACCGCAATTAAAATGAAGTTAGAATAAATGAGAATAATTTTAAATCATTTTCTACAAAAAATACAGTTTAACGACATTTCACTGCACTATTACGATGAAAATGAAAGATATAGAGAATATTTGTTTTGTTTGCGTGTAAGATGAAATAATATTTCATCGAGAGGGCTTTAAAAACAGTATCCTCACGAGTTTACGCCACGAGTGAGGTTACTGTTTTAAAGTTCACGAGATGAAATAAAATATTACATCTTACACAACAAACAAACAAATTTAATTTTCTTTTAATTTTATGCTTACAAACAAGGTAAAACGAAATGTCCATAATATTAATGTCAATAATAAAATCTTTTTTCCCCATTGAGAGCCCCATTTAGTTAGACATTCTCATTAAATACAAGTAGTCTTCAGCTGAAAAAAGAGTTTGACAATCAACGTTAAATGACGGTGATATTATTCATTTTATTAAAAATATATGAATGATCGCTTGTTTTAATAATAAAAGGAAACAATTCTTAGGAGAAAAAGTCCAACCATCCATCCATAATTCTGTTACTTACTGCAAATGTATATTAGACCTGGCTTTGTTAAATGTAAGCGGCAGCCATTTTTTAAAGTTGTGTATTTCACGAGAGGAAAATAATTGTGTTTGATTCACAGGGATATCATTTAGATTAGTTACTCATTCACCATTTTAAAAGAAAGAACACTTATTTGAGGATTGTTATAGACAAAAAATTAGTGTTGACAGAAAACATTCAAAAAGCAGCAAGGAAAATGGAAAACTTCAAAGGCTGGCTCAGGAACGCTGGGTTGTTTACTTATTCTTCGAGTGATGGCTGTCATTGCTTTTCAAGTTTTCATAAAGCATTAGGCAGTTATTGCTCGTATGATACTTTAATACGCCCAAATGTCATCAAGCGCAGTTTTGCATGTGAAAGGAATGTATTTTTCAGATCGTAAAAATGAAACAAACAAAACTTGACGAAATTTGGTGATTGGAATTTGAATGAATAGAAGTAAGTTTTCTTCTTTTTATTACTTTTGACATTTAAGTTATTTATCAATTTCAGCTTTGCTTTTCTTTAAACAGCCTGACATTGTCAGAATCGTCAGCAAAAATAAAATTGAGGTACCACATAGGGAAAATCTTAAACATTGAAAAGTGTGAAATTATATTTTGATAATTTTAAGTGTGAAATTATCAAATATAATTTTCACGGATAAATCAGTAATCCACTCAAATAAAATAAATGTGGCATATTTTTGGCAACAGTAAACCACTTATTTATCACTTATATAAAACTTACTAGTTAAACTAAAAACAACATTCCGTTAAATACAAGTTTCATAACAAACAATTTTCTAATAAATACCAATTAAATAACGAGCATTTTTTCTGTTTATTAATAAAAGCTTCGCGTGATTAATTGTTATGATAAGTAACAAATAATTGAATGTATAAGTTATTAAGTTTTCAGTTCCTTGATCCGGCATAATGCTTTATACATTATACGTATATACTACTCGTTTGTTGTCCTTACTTCGTATAAATATAATTTGTTTAATGTTTCGTTATTCTCTATCGACATACATGTGAAACCGCTATGATTATAAGCAATCAACTAGCTAACCGCAAGAGTTTAAAGGTGGAAGCATAACTTTTCCGAAATGACATAATATCAGAAAATCAACACGTTATTTCTATATAATAAATCTAGACATTGACAGTTTCCCTTGATGAAGTAATTCGCTCGAGTATTGTCTGCTGTGCAAATCCGTTGGTCCTGCTGAGACTTCGGTCATGTCAACATATGATTTAAACAAAACTTTGGCAGACGCAATTCCTTAGTGTAAATTTTGTAAAGCATTATGTCACAACTAGGTAGGTCGCACAAGTTTCTGGCGATTCTTCCTTGAATTGTATTATGTATCTTTCTGCATGAAAGGAGCACATTGACCTTTTAAATGTAGCCTATACTTAAATTGTGCAGAGCCTCCAAAGGAAACGGACAGTTCTTTGTCCGTGCCGATATTGAATCACTCGTTGCTATCAAGACATGAACTTGTAATATGTTTAGCAAGTAAAGTGTGTTAGTTAAAAAGCAGAATACCTCCAGTTTCATGCTGTTATCATTTAAATTTCGAAAATGTATTTTAAAGTTAAATATTGGTAAGCGAAAAAAAGTAATTTACATATAGAAAATTTGGACTTACAATCGACGCAATTTCCATTATATGTCAAAATATTCAAAAATAACTCTTACTGCATTATGGACGGGGCAGAATAATGGTGAATTATGTAAATACAGTCTTTAATCGCACTGAATCTGTTTCCTTTTCTTAAAATATTAGTATTTAATTCTCACGTTTGATTTCCTTGAAACAGTTTTGGCTCATCTGGAGGCATGCAACTTTAAAACAACACTCTTTACCTGGCTGACCAGGGTTGCTTATTTATGGCAATATTGATGACTTCACGCATAACCTTTTTATACGTATTTTACGATTTTTTTCTCAACAAAATCACACATATATATATATGTACAACTTTAACTTATGCTTTAACTTATGCAACGTAAGTAGCTACGGTTCCAGAATGATTTGAGCTGCCAAATCTACTACATCGGATATGTGACTTATACATCCGGCGTTTTCTTTTTCTGAAACGCAACATAAATGCTAGTTCATTTCTGAAATATGCACCAGTGATACTGTACAAAAAGAAATTTACACAATAGTTTAAATAGAACACTGTTCTGGTAACGTTAAGCACACCGTTCCAATAGTCAATATCACCATGATTGAAATCGCTGGCGTCAGAGTGCAAAAATCTCGATGATAAAAAATGCCTGAACCAGACCGCGGAATAAGGCAGATTAAATGCAATGAAAAAGAATGAAATCGCCAGTAATATCAACGTAAACTCTAGTCGTATTTTAGTTGTTTCAGCAAAGAGGTCACTATGGCGATGGTTTCTAAGGTATAAGGTTCGCATAATTAATAAGTTCAGTATTGTTATGATAATAAAAGGAACAAGTGTTATTAGTAAAGCAAAAATTGAATCTAACACAAACGACTCAAAGCTGTACAGTGAATTAGAGGTACATGTGACCTGTCCTTTTTGGATGTTCTCACTGCTTAGAATAGGTTTATATGACACAAGTATTCCACCAACAACTAACATTCCAATTAAGATCTTTCTAGATTTTCCTTTAAACGATTTAAGAGGGTAGCACACTCCGGTAAATCTTTCGATGGTGAATATCACAATTATCCAAGTTGACATGACTCGAGATAAATATGAGAAAAACAATAGTATTTGACACGGTCCATTCCTATTCAGAACTCGCAGTATAATTTGGGCATCCGGGTTGATGTGAATAAGTCCTCTTCGTAACCATTCAATAAACACGTAGAATATCAGAGTACATATATCTGCTGCTGATAAAGCCGCCAGATAAGAACTTGCAGACATTTTCCGCATATTCTTTGTGCTAAATACTGCTGCCGATAGGCCGTTTCCGACAAGGCCTATAATCAGTATAAATGGTGTTAAATAAGAGAATAGATTCAGTCCAATTGTATAAACTGTCGGTTTTTCATAATTAAAACGTTCTGGAAAATCGAAATCTAAGAAATCATCGAACGCCGGCGTGGTGCAATTTGAAACAGACGATTCATTAGAACTGTTTGAATTTTGTCCCGTCAACGACGTATCCAATGTACACGGGGACTTCAATTTACCCAACTGCAATGAGAAAGCAAACAGTGCTATTGTTAACTACATCACAGTTAAGCTAGTACACTTTGTATAATAAATATTAATGTTGTTTTAAGGAGCCCCACTTATGTAAAAAAAAAACAACATAAAATTTGAAATTCTTACTTATAAATGAGGTGAAACACTTAAAATGGACATTTCCATGATAAAAATACACTCAGAATAAAGTTGAATAAAGTTGAATATCGATATTTGTTACATTCTTAGCCCGAATTGAGTAAAAAGCGTTGCATCGCTTCTGATTTTTGTAGTCTTTTGCAGAATACATGTACAAAATTTGGTTCTAGAAAAAACGAAATGAGGGAATGATCTGAAAATCCTCACACATGTTATAGATCCAGACTTACATCAATGGTAAAATAGTTTCAGTAATTACATGCCAAACCCTCATTTGAGTTCTTTTAAGACTCACTATACATATTTAAGTTCTGATAACTCGTCACTATTTTGGCTTTATCATTAATCCGGATGAGATACTAGTGCAATATGAATTACATATACATACTGGAAAAACATTTCATATTTCAACACAGAATAAAATTAATATTGAAAGAATGGTGGCATGTATCATGTCCGAAAATTTACTGATCGATTCATCTGTCAAATAAAGCATTACTCCCTGTAAATAAGAATGATAATAATAAAAACAGACTCACATAGCTTTGGAAAAACGACGAATTGAATAAATGGTCCATTTCATATGTAGTTTACAATAAACTTTTGATGAGGATTTCCAGTTGTTTTCTTAACGACGGCATGACTTTTTGCTAGCAATAGTACTACCATTTGTTCCACGTTCTCTACCAGAGACTGACAAGTACCTGGAAAAAAGTTTAAACCAGTAATTAATTCACTTGTTACTATGTATTGTAACACACTTCCAAGTAATTCAGTCACTAAATGTATTAACTGAACGTTCCGGATCGAATTAATAGCCCAACGTTTAGTCTGAACTGAATATGTCGACAAACGTGGAAGGAAAATGAGGGTATTCCCCATAGTTTTGTTGTGTTTTTTTGTGCTCAAGGATGAATATACATGACAAATTGAATTTAAATAGACATTGGCGATGAAAGGCCGGTGAAAGCTCTCGTCTATGTCCCATAGAACTATAAATCCCACTTGACGGGTAAAGCGGGTTCAAAATAGTCTTAATGTATGACTGAATTTGTCAGCTTAAATATATATGAAATAATCAGCTTTTCTATTTATGGGTATAGTACAATTTAAAACTTTAATTGATTAAGATTGCACTGTATTAAACCGATACACCTTTGTACGTTATCGCCTTACTTTTAATATGTGATTAAAAAGTAGAAGAGAATATCTATCCCGTCTTTTGTATACACTATATACAATAAGTATATACTTATTAGCTACTTATTTGTTATATCCAATTATCTTTGTATGGTATGCCCAGTTATCGGACATGACGCCATGTATAAAAGAAATGTCCGCTTGTTTTAGAAAAGGAATGTGTGTTGTGATTTACGAATATATTGTGTGGTAATATTGACCTGAGACGCACTAATATTCGGACGCTTTTTTCGTTTGTTTCCGTAATTTATTACGATCAAATAATTGATTTTAATGTTGGGAATGTTCCGGACTTTTTTATATTTTTATATATAATAGTTATGTCCCGATGGCCAAGTGGTAAGTATGATAGCATAGCAATCGCGAGGTTGCAAGTTCGAATCCTTAACAAACTATATCTCTTTTAAATTTATTTAATTATCTTTCTTTTTAATTATATTCAGCATTAGTGAATGATTTCTTTAATTTCTTCTGTAAAAAAAATGACTTTAAACGAAGTCTTTAATATAGAGATGCATATGCAAATAATTGCATAATTTTATTGTGTACATCCGTACAATGGGGATTGGCATGTACATGTAATAAAACATAGTAGTCAAAGTTCGCAAAATATAATAAAACAATCCATAAAATTTACAGTTTTATCAAGATTCAAACCTATAACTTTCAATTGGAAACTAAAAATCTTAACTCCTTATCATTGAGGCTAGTAAGGCAAGTATTATGTTGGTAACTTTTAGTGATACATAAACCATATTTACCGCTTTGCCATAGTTTAAAATCCGTATGGTTTACTTCGGAATCCGATAATTACAGACAACAGGTCGTTGAATATTTAAATGTGTCAGGCCAAACAAGCATTCTTGCACTAAACTACAAAGCATCTAACTATACATGGGCGGATTCGTATTAAAGTAATCAGGATTTACAGAAAGTATAATATTTTCGTATATGTTTGAACATAATCATATGCTTGGCAAAAAACACATTTATCAACCAAAGCAAGTAGTCAAAGACTTTGGAAAAACAGGAGGTATTTTAAGTTCCGGTGCATTCTTTAAGCTAAAATAGATCTTGTCCCATAAACATGTCGCCCCGATGTATTTGTAAATTTTTCCATTCAATGACAACGGAATTGATTGGCGCCTTTTTTACAAGATTGTATTATATTTCACAAACACACTATTGATATCAACAAAATTTAATTTGACGCACCACTTGTACTGGAACAAGGTTGATCCCGAAAATCAAACCATTGTTAAGGATTATGGATATAATAATTTGATATATATTGTGTGATGAAGTTATATTTTATTATAAGAACATTAAATGGTAACATTAAATTACGCATCAAAACGGCAAATATAGACTCGCTTTATTTTAGTCTGTGTATGATCGCAAGCTCCATCTGTGACACAGATATGATTTAAAAAGATTTTTTTTTCACGATACTTTTACTTTCACAGTAATTTTTCGAGACTAAAATCCCGTGGCATTGTAGATCTAGACCAAAAATGTTATGTGCAAACTTTCAGATCATTTGCTCACTCCGTTTGTTTAATTGTAAAAAGTGACGACCAAAAAATGAAAAACACTTTTCACTCAAACCGGGGTTAAGAATCCCAGCTGATCTACGTATGTAAGAAACTCAAATCGTATGTTTTTGACCACAGCGACGTTCCAGTTAACACGGAAATTAATACATACAGGATATTTATTCGTTTTGCACATTTGAGATAGAACTATTTTTTCCGAGAGAAAAACCAAAATGCAATATTGCATGTATGGCGTATCTGGCGTTCACGAGAGACACTTCTTTGATGTACTTAATATTCTATTTATCACACACCAAAAATAAAGACCGTTTAAAGTGAAAACTAGTAAAATGTCTTTAAGGCTATATAGGCCGCGTCCCACACTTTTCAAAGGAAAAAGTCAAACAGTGAATAAAGGAGACAATAAATAAAATTAAATTGTTGTCTATCTGCAATTTATTGCACTGAATATACGCCAATACACAACTCTGATAATGCATACAAACACTTTCGTTGGCGGGTTCCATGATCCTAACCACAACTAACTTGGTTTACACGTGAATAATAGAACATATAATATTCCCGTGCCGCCTTTGCGACTCCGTAAAAATGTTATTGCATGGCCGTGCATATATTCTGAAGTTATACTATAGGCGCGTCAATTAAAAACTGGTTCTTTTCCACTTCAAACGATCTTTATTTTTGGTGATAAATAGAATATTAAATTCGTGTAAGTTCATAACTGAATTAATTGAACCCTTTTAATAAAATATTATTATGCTCGTCAGAGGCTCGCATGATATAATTTCATTCAGCTCGTTCATCAAATTCAGTTTTTAACATACACTTAATTATTTAATATGTTACTGATATACTGAATTTCTGTTCTGTTATCTTTGTAAGCTTATATCATGTTTAGAACGAAAAGAAATAAGGAAGATTTTTTGAGACATAAAAAATGTGGCACCGACTGCAAAGATTATCAATCACCTAGTGTTATCGTCGATATTTGGGGTTTTTTTTATTAGAAAATTATTTTATTTTAGACTTATATTGTGTCTTACACCACATATGTGAATGATTTGAAAGAAGACAATTTTTAAAATGTGATTTCTCAACTTACAGTCGAATTTATTTCTAATAAATCACAAATGAGAGGAAATGTGGTCATAAGAACACCCGTCCTCTGTTAAAGGAACATGGTTATGGGAATCTACAATACATCAATATTGTTAAATTGCCATTCATTTGGGAACCTTATGATTATGATTTCTCAATCTTCCACGCAGTGATATCCCCTTACAGGATTAGCAGTTACATGTACTAGCGGTATTTCAAAACTCACATAATGACGTCATGATTAGAAATTAAAATTTAGTGTATGACGATAAACGACAAAAAATATATTTAATAACAAAAATACATTAAAATTCGTTATTTGAATATAAAATGTGTTTGCTCTGCATGTTATATAGACTCTAGAATAATATTTCTCACGTGAACACCAATTGTTAAATTGATAATTTATGGCTACGTCACATATGAAAATGTATATTGCATCAGGTGTAGATCTATATGAAATATGTGTCGATCTTATAACCAGAAACAAAAAACAAGCAAAAAAAAACTGCTTCAATAACTCACTAAATTTACAACAACTATCATTAAAAACCAAAAAAGAAATGCGTGTATGACATACATTAAAATCACCTAAATGAATAGTAAAGTGTATTTAAAAAGATACATTAACGTAGAAAAATGACTTCAAAACTTTTTCCTCGATATTAAAACCGTTGTTTATTCACCAAGTATGATGGTTAATTAATACCGACAGTATGTATTTCAGCCAGTTTACATCAATACGTCACTAAAAACGATATTAAAACTATATATTTAAAAATACAAGCTAAATAATAATAATAATAATAATAATAATCAAAAACATTAAATTTGATAAATAAAATATTTCTAGAAGAGTTCATTATTAAATACATTTAAATATTGAGAGATATTAATGAAATAAATTGGGAATTTTAACTGGCGTCTTGCCGGACTACTTTGTTCTAAATTCAGCCAAGACACACAATTTAAGGGGAAGTCTTTCAAATCAAAAATTGAGAAAAAAAAATATGGAAACAGAAAATGTAAGGTTTTTTTGTGTTCGTGTATAATTACTAGATTTATTTTCGTCGTTTTGTTCGTCGTTTTGTATGAATTTTAGGGAATGAATTTTAAATTGTGATGTCAAAAGAAGAAAAGATTGTATATTATAAACACACAATTTATAGATATGAAAAGTGTCATATTTCCCTCATGGTCATCGTCAGTCATGAAATATTTCTTTTTAAAACATGTACACCCGGTGAAAATATACTATGTATTTATAGACAATAGAATCCACTTTTTATTTTATCTAGTAAATTAGATGTATTTTTTACTACGAATAAGATAAACGATCGTTAGATATTATCATACACGCAAAAATGAAATTGAATTGGGCACATTATATCCAGATGAAAAACGAGCAGCAAACACTACATAAAAACACATCCTGCTTAGTCTAACTACCATCTCCCGTGAATAAATCATAGTTACATGCCTCTCCTTATTTCATATTTTATACATGTAAACACATATTTATAATCCAGAATTTCCCGTATAAAAACATTGTATTCACCTATTTTAAAATATGTTTTAACACTTATTCAATTAACTTCTAACGATGTTGTTATAAAATTTCAGTATTTTAAATGGATCAATTACAAATGTATTTAGATTATGTCATATTTGTGCAAGTAGTAGGAATTCTAACATCAAGATAAACTAACCTTTGTCAGATAAGATCTATTCCTATAAAAATGTATATGTCATTCAAACAATATCGTTTCAAATGGTTCTGAACACCCTTTGTTGTTTATGTTGTTTATTCCGTTTTACAATATATGCGACATCTAATTTACAAAATTCCATTCACTATTACGATGCAAACACCTCTACAAAACTATTTGAATGTTCTGTGAGGAGATATACACTGCTGTAACAGAGAATATATCGGCGATTCTTGAAGTTATTTTCCACACACGGTGGTTAGTGCGTTTTAGAAATAGCTTGTCATCAACGGATAATTTATATACTTATGTACTTTTTTATGAAATTAAACTAGGTTATGAATAATTATATGTTTTGCTCCAAAATAAACCAAATGTTGTTAGAATTTTCACTTTGTTCAGCTATATCTATTTAGAACAGTTTTATTCTGTAAACCCCGAACTAAAGTTTGACCTATACACTTTACAAATGTTCATATGCAGCGGTATTTACATTTACCTCAAGTGAAACACACACACACACAAAAAACAACTACAAATTGCATTTTTTATTTTAAAAATGAAAGCACACATGCATAAAGTGATACAGAAACCCGTTCACATGTGCGGCAGG